GCTTTAAAGTACGTTTGCCCTGAATGTTCACTAGACACCGCATATAAATACTCAATGTCCTCAAGGTATTGTTTTCTGAACGTCATCCAATAACTTTGGATTTCCGTATATCTCCTTGGATTTTTTTGAAACGAAGCCCTGGACAATGGCTTCTCTATGCTTTGTTATGAGACATCTTATACCTGATCAATGTCCACAAAGTATTACTTTTTGAACATCAACGCGTAATGACTACAGATTCTTTTATAATATGTACTTAGAGACCTCAAAAACATTTTGAGAGTTAATGTAGTTGATTAGTACTTGATTAGGATTTGGGGCCTTTTTAAGAGATAACCCCAGACATAGATCCACTGGGACTGTGTATACGGAAGTAAAAAAATGATAGATGTATATATTGTCATTTGTGTTTATAGCAATATTGAAACCGTTAATATCAAGAAATTTAAAAATACATTCAGAAACTAGATTCTTAAAGCCATTAGAGTTTATACTTTAATTCTTGTATTCTAAAATGGCCAAAATACTGCTATTTATCTAATAGTATATATCTATATTTACATTGCCATAAGCTGACTGAACGTCAAGGAAGGCTGCGAGCAAATCTCCATTATCATTCGCTACGTGCACAGGCTGAAAAAGCGATCGCAGCAATACCTGTGCTAATATGTGAAACTAAACGATATGTTTGTCTTCTGCTAGCAGACTGCTAAGCATTACTATCATCAGAAAGTTATGTGTTTATACATCGACAACCATTCTAAGGGTTAAATTTTTAATAAAATTATGAGTAGTATGTACATATTTTACTCATGCATGTTCATTTTAAAAACGCAATGAAATACATCGTATACTGTGTATTTCTTAGAGTTTTTAGCTAGGGCCTGATCCTCTAAGCGTATCGTATGAACGTGTGTACATACTGTGTGAACACGCCGGTATAGGGCTAACGGAGCTCTCTGATTGGTCAGAGGAGGTCTGTGTTGACTACATTGCAAACTAATAAAACATTTCTCGTATCACACAGTACACGGACTTGTGTTGAAGTAATACTCAAGCGCTTATAATGCTTGCAGTACAAATTTTGTTCTTAGTTATACACATAGGATTGTACCACTTGAGACATTGTATTAATTCGTGACATAATAAACACAGAACCTTTCGTGTATCTATCGAGGTACTGGGTTCCTATTCGCTCCGAGCCGATGCAGAGGTTGCGCCCCCTCTAGCCAAAATCAGGCAACATTTCTTGCATGTAAACAAACGGTTTAGAACATATATACATACGTACAGCTGCTTGTGATTGGCACTTGGCAAGCTAGAGAGAGAACGACGATCCTCTCCTGCTGTCTTATTCAGCCAATCACAAGCAGCTATACGCATGTATATATGTTCTAAACCGTTTGTTTACATGCAAGAAATGTTGCCTGATTTTGGCTAGAGGGGGCGCAACCTCTGTATCAGCTCGGAGCGAATAGGTATCAAGCACATATATCGCGAATATTGCCTTCTGCTGTGCCAGACAAATAGTTCTCGTTTTTCCCTCGGTGGCGCTGCTTCAAAATTGTGCACGTAGCGAATAAGGCGCCTCTTCTGCAGAGACACATATAGGCTCAGCAGATTGTCGATGCACTTATTTGACTAGGGTCTCAAGAAATTGTACATTTAGTTAAGGATGTCTGAAAGAGAATGAGTTTATACTTAAAGGTAACTGTTACGAATAGATTTTGTTTGAAAACAGGCTCTTTTTTTGTTGTTAAAATGATACGCAGGTGTCTTTGCCGGTATCTCGACGCGGCGACTGAAGTGGGCGATGGAGTCGCCGTGGTCGACGAAACGGTAAAGCTAGGCTTTCCCGCGGACGATAGCCGGCGGGACGCTTGTTCGATTTTTAAAACGGTTTCTAGGCAACCAGCTTTTTTTGTATTTAACTAACTTAGTTTTTTTTCCTCCTTGGAGACGAAGAGAAAAAAAAGAGCCCGAAGTTCAGTTCGCGCTTTGTAATCTCAAACGATAAACAACTAAAAAAGTTTGTGACATTCAATAAACATTATATCTCTTTTTCATAAGTTACTGCTTTTTACTTCGGCATAAGTCAGATAGTTGGCAACAGTAACATTATGATTACCTTAAAAAGCCTTTGCCGTCTAAACCTGGTGCTGAGTTAAGATTTTTCCTGTCTTAAGTGTAATTGAGTTTCACCAGGGAGAAAGGAGAATCTATTAATTAATATGAAAAAGCAGATAGAGAAGAATCAGGATGAGTTTGAACCTGTGGGCAAATTTTGTCAAGCACAGACTCAAATTACCTTGAGACAGTAAAATCCTTTAAAACCTCCTTTTCTTCAACTTCAGTGTCAAGTCCTTTGATATGACCTTACCTAATTAGACGATGTTGTGGAATAAACACATCACAACATTTTTCTAAAATATCCGAATCATCCATCACGTGGTTAGCTTGCAAGTTTTTTAGGAAAACTTTGATTTTCCAATCTGTCTTAGGTACAATGTAATCCACTTGATATTTGTACATTTTAATTTACTGATGGTACGTCTATGAAACTTGGAAGTAGGGCCAGAGCTAGAACTTATTTTAATATAGTTTTCTTTTTTTTGCTTCGAACTCCGAGTACGTGTACGAAGTCTTATGGGATATATAATATATCTCTTGTTAAAAAACAAGCATGAAATGTGGCATAACGGAGTCTTATTGTCTTATCTTGTTAATTATTTGGCTTTTGGGTACCTAATTGAACTTCCACATGCCACATTTCATGCTTGTTTTTGAGTATTTAATTTTTTGTATCGTTTTTTTTTATGACTAACTACGACGACATGGTACACACCAAAGAGCCAGGAGGTACTATCACAGTGATAATGGATCACGTGGAGGAAAAATCTTACAAGGGTGCCGCGAGTGCAGATAGAGCGGGGATCGAACCCTAGCCCTCCAGGTGGAAGGCAAACGCTCTACCACCGAGCCACTGGTAGCTCGAGTCTAATCTCGAGTCTAATTAGGTACGCAAAACTCGCCCAAAAGCCAAATAAACAACAAGACAAGACAAGACACACGATACTTTGAAAAGAAATTTATAAGCAAAATGTATTCTTGACAGATTATAATTGATTTGTTAATAATATTGTGACGCAACAATATAATTTGAGCAATTGTATTAATATATGTATACAGAGAATATTCACTATTTGATAATAATATACATGGCATAATACTTAAATCTTATGTCTTAGTTTGGTTAGAAAATGAAAATTATATGAATCATGATGAAAATGTTTTATTGATTTAGAATAAACATTGAAACTATAGTTTAACTATTAGTAATGACTAGTGCTTTTGTAACAAAATTGAATTTTGATGAGATTACTAAAAACACGTGTTGTGAAAACTCTTAAATATGTATTTAAACTTATTTGTTTTAGAAAAAAATAATTTTCAAGATTAATTCTGCAACACGTATAAGTCGAAGGGTTAAATAAGGGACGGGTGGGCTCCTTAAATTGTGTAAATGATTTAAAAAATTTATGTCTAAATTTATTGTACTAATTTTTACGCAAATTTCATATTATAAATCTTATTAAAAGAAGATGGAAGTTTTAAGATTTGATGAGAATGTGCAAAATGACTTAAAAAAATAACTTTCCTCAATAGGCCGATACTTCTATGGTTTTTATCATTGTCACTAGTATAATTTAAATTTATATGTATATTAGTATTATGTCACAGATTTTCATTGTATAGAATTTCAATTTATAATTTGTTTTAACTTAAAAAAGTTTGGTCTGTGGCATTTAATCTAACTCCTTGAGGAAATGACAAGTCATCCAAATATTTGAATGAGATAAAGTGCATCCTTGAAATTACAGTTGGGAAATAAAAAGTTGCTTCAACTATTTAGAATGAAGTTTTACTATATAGTTGGTCAAATGGTACAAGATTTATGCAACAATAATAAACCGTTTGGATCACACAAATTGTTTTCAGTGGTAATTTATAGAAAATTCTTCCTCATATTAGAAACCATCAATATTTCACGTTTAAGGTTATCATTTAAAATGTAAAAATTAATTTTTGTTAAAGTTACTCTAAACTTTAAAAATAGAGAATGAAAATGTAAAAGCATTTATCGTACCAAGAGTATAATAATAAACATATGATGTATGTTAAAAAATATACGATTCCTTTTTTAAATAATAAAATTTTGAACTTCATTGCAAGAGGAACTGTCACTTATTATTGTAAGAACAAAGCAACATACGTTTTTCCAACAACTGCTAGATTTTTATGAGACACTTGTACTTCGACAAAATTTTGCCCAGAATACGTTCATGTTTTCATAGCTGTAGATTGGTATACTCTATATTTTGAGATCCAACATTATCATTGTTAGTATAAGACAAACACTTGCTGTGATTTTTATACATAAGAATTATAACTTTACTAATTAAATTAATAAGTTATTCATCCGTATCGATAAAGAAGCTGAAGTTAATACCCATGCCACACCAGCATCCGTCATTTCTGTAATTTCTCCCTGTACTCAGTACGAATGTCCCTCCTCTCATCCCCTTTCAAGCTAGCTGGCCACTGATATTCAACATTCGACGAATGTTTTCCAACAACTTTTTCTCTACCTTACTCTCTTTGTTTTGCTGAATCGGATTATTGACCCTACGAAAGGATGCTGAACTTTCACTATTTCACAATTTTAATTTTTATGCAATCTTACTCATTCAAGTTTTCTTCAGACGACAATGCATGTTTTAGTCAATTTATAAATTTGACAACAAAGGAAATGTGATTTAAATTGTATATTTTTTAATACATTTAGTTTTCATACAGTGTTCACCTTTTTAAACAAGGTCAGAATTCACAATTCAAATCATTAATTCACTATGTAAGTTATTATATAACTTGTTGATTAAATTAATTATTTCATTAATAATTAAACATTTTGTCATTGTTAATGGTTTCAAAACTTCTCATTATTTACTCTTATTATAATTTAATTTTATGTCAATCATAGGCTTGACCATTCCGTAGGCGTTAACCAGTGCCTAAAAATGTCACGATAGGTATATAATGAATACAGAAAAAAAAAAATTCAAATTTCTATAATTGATTTTTTACTTACTTTCCACTGTCTCATCGTCATAGACAGGACATTTTGAACATTTCTTGTATTCTTTTTATTGGCTTCTTCCACTTCGTCCTTGTTAGATTTTTGAAGATAAGGGATTCCATCCTCATCTAAAATGAAAATCACATTTTCTTACACAACATGTGTACAAAGTTCCAGAAAAATAAAAACTACTGTTATGTTACCTATGGTACATTTAATAAGACCATCACGTATGAGAAAAGAAACATGTAGAATGTTCTCCACAGTTTTACCAAAATCAGTAGGATGCAGGACTAGAGAAAAAAAGTCAAGTGGCTTGTTGTGCTGTTTTTGATAATTTTTAATTATCATTAAAATCGCATGTACGATTTGTTCAACGCTGTCTTCAACTTTGTCGAGAACGATGACTTTTTCAGGCCTCTTGGTAGGAGCTTGAGCTTCTCTCACCACTTTTCGCGGCTTGGTTTTTTCTTTTTTTGGAATGGGTCTCAATGTGCCTACAGTAAGTTAAGACTCAACTGTACTCAAAGGTTTGAATGGATAAAATAATAATACAATCATAATTACCCAAGAACATAGTTAGCTTTGGTGTTATCCTAAAAAGCTTCATCACAGTTTTCCCTAAAAGAGACCAGTCGGGCAAATCTGAGCCAACTGACACAGAATCAGGTAAACGGCACAGATAACTTTTCTTGAAAAAAAAAAGAAAAAAAGGATTTTAGAGTATGAGATAGTATTAAACTATAAGTCTCAATTTTTATTTGCATAAATGCTTACTATATTATCAGCAAACTCCATTGGATCATAACTGTTGATGTTTGTAGACAAAGAGAAGGTACATTTTTTTATGACATTGGAAGAAACACTCATGATTTCAGAATCCAGGAGAACTTCTCCTTGATCCTGGACTGAAAAACAGAGTCCTATTTTACCACCTGATTTGTTTTTCCATTAATTTCCATGCAGTGGGTATTACTTGCCGGAATCAGAACTTACGTTTTTCTTCCAGACTACCTTCTCCATTGATTGTGTCAACTTCAGCAACTATTTCTTCTAAATTTTCCAGAGTCCTAATGTTGACATTGCTCTCTGGAAAGTAGTAATGTCAACATATGTAAGCGAGCTTGGCTGTGCCAATGTCTGAATTATAATAGATAATACTTACGAAGAGCTTGTGCATTCAAGTATTTACTCCTCAATGCTTCCTTTCTCATTTGGGGTGATCGATAAATGCTAGTTTGTGTAGTTTGTGAGTGGTCAGATAGTTGCGACGAGTCAGGAGATGAATGAGCTGCTGCTGGTGAAGCCATTTTGCCTCGTGCTTAGAAGCTGTACAAGAAAAGTAAATGTAATTAACAATAAATGTTGTCTAACGCAGGTGGTATTCATGTATATTGCTACAAACGTATTTTTACAAGTTGTCAATCGATTCTTTATTTGTACATTAAAATTGAAGCTCTGATTTCACTTGCTGTGTGGCTACACGTTTTTTTTTATCTTGGAAAGAGAGTTGTAATTGCACAGAGTTGTTTTAGAGGAGACTTAGATAATGTACATATTCTCTAAGAGGATAGATAGAGGACTATAGATTTGTTCGGAGACCGAGACCCGGCAGTCCCGGGGTCGCCCAATCTTGGTCTTTCTAATCTTATAGGACTCCCTAAAACCTAAAAGTCTAGAAGGAAAATTTTTGAACGCAACGTTGTGTGAGTAGGCCTTATACCATTTGGGCCGGCCTCTACTGGGAGGGATGAGTTTCACGGCTTTATTATACTTCTTATTATACATTTTATTCGCTGTGTACAAGTGTATTGGTGCCATCTGATGCTAGTCTACTAGTCTAGTAAGGTTCGAGGGAGTGAAGAGACACCGATGGCACCGCTGCTGATGATTGGTCAGCCTCCATGTGAAGCTCTTGGGGGAATTTTGGACATTTTGGCCCATAGAGATAATATAAGAATTCTTATATCTCTCTGTAGTGTGTGTGTGTGTGAATATTACGGTGCTTTACGTCCGGTTCACTTTGTAGAGGCACTACTTAGGTCACTCAGCACTTGGGATTGGAAAGAAATTGGGATAGGATTGAAGGGGGGAGGGCCCTAACAACTGCTCCACATTCACCCATGACGTTTGTTGTGTGGAGGAAAACCCTGGGAAATCTCCCGTAGGAATAACTTGATCCGGAATAGCCTGGTGTATCTGCCTCGTTTCTGACACCTGGTGTCCAAGCTGCAGACTCAAACAAAGGGGCAGAAATTTGGCACACCTCCCGCTCACGATGTCAAAGGGACAGAGGAACAGTCAATCAATCCACGAAGCAAACAGCAGATCGGTGGTCGACGGTGATCAGAAGGGACCGCAACTCTGTGGCGTCTCACATCTCTCGCGCTTCAGACTCTACTCGCAAGGTGGCCAAGCCCCTAATAATTCTCTCCCGTCAAGCGGCGAAACATGTGATTGATTACTATATAAGCGCGATCAAGCTCACATTTTTTTCGTGTCTAAGACAGGGAGCACGTCATCAGCCTTACTGATGAGTCTTGGAGCGAAACACCTTTTTTCTCTCTCTTCTACAGACGACCACTCTATCTCTACATTGGCGATCCTGCCCTTCAAACCTTTTCCATCGCTACAACACATCGCTGGAGCGTGCGGGTGGCTCAGTCGGCTAGGTCGTGGATCAGCACGCGGCAAACCGCGGTTCTTCTTCTTATTCTTCTTCTCACTTTATTGGCTGTAATTATAGGCTCCAAAATGAGAGCCAATGTGGCCATGACCAGGTTGGGATACGTAATACTTCGATTTCCGGGTGAGAGAGATTAAATTTCTCCGTTCGTCCTTTGGGGTAATGAGGTTATGATGATAACTATAACTTTAGCGAGTTATTTTGATCGTGAGGCTAATTCAGCACTGTCTGAAGTAAGAAGGTTGTGTCAGGAGAACCAGTGTGGAGAGTAGCTTTATGTTTAATAGGGGTTTGGAAACAAATTAGGAAAAGGAGTTGGAGTATTTCAAATTAACAGGCCACAAGATTTAATAAAATCTGTAGTAGAGACCGCGGTTCTATTCTTGGCCAGTGTGACTTTTTCGGGCAAGCAATTCTCCTCGAGAAAGGTTTAGGCAACCTTCTTGCAGCATAATTACCTCATTTTCCCCACCCCCTCCCAGTAATGGATGGCCTCCAATCCCTCTTCCCTTCTTTCTCCCAAGTGCTAAGTGCCTTTTATAGGAGCCGGACGTAAGGTAAAAGCACCAGTACGTGAACACTTTTTAAAATTGCACCAGTAGATTGGACAGCTTGAATAAACTATTTTTAATTTAAGTAGATAAAAAAAAATGTTTCTGATATCCTTTGATCGTTCTTTAGATAAAACGAAATTTATATTTCAGTAAGTCTCTATACTCAACGAGAAAAAAATGATTTATTCGTGCAACTTGTATGAGGTCGCTTGTGAGACTGTTCAGGTACTGGTACCATTAGGTTTTACCTATGCCCAGTACTCAAACACATAAAAACGATTGAAATCACTGTTAATCAATAATAATAGTATGTCAAGCCAGTCGTTATAGTTTTCATAATATGTCACCAATGAAATTAGAAATTTTTCGATTTGGTTATTTGCAATACTTACATGATAAAAATGGAAATCAATAGAAGGCAGCTAACATAACCTCTCTCTCATTTAATTAACATGGGATGTTCAAGTACTCGGTCAAAAATACGTATCGGTACCAATACCTGAACACGCTGTTCATCTACTGGGTCATTGGTAAAAAAACTTTAAAATTAATTTATTAATTGTACACATGACCTAGAAAAACTTTTTTGTTTTTTTTTTAAAGGAAAAAATATAAACTTACTGGCGCAATGACTGTTTTGCTGTTATGCAAATCAGAAATTCAATAAAAATGAGAAAACAAAGACTTTATGGAAAAAGAGTTCACGTACTGGTGCTTTCACCTTAAAGCACTATAATATAAAAAAAAACCTGAGCCATTGTACTGGTTGTATATATATATGCAGAGTTTCCAAGCTCACGCCTTTCTCCATGAGCCTCAAATGGCGGACATTTTCTCCAGTCCTCAATCTCTCGAAGCTCACTAATGCCAGTCGCCAGAGTAGCGTGGACTAGTGAGCTTCAAGGGAATTAAGCTTCCCTTGAAATTTACAAGCGTGGACTTGCCCGACGATTTAGGGCTAATGCATCGTCAGCCACAAATATCTCAAGATGACTGAAAAATTATGATATAATAAGCGTCACCCACTAAAATCACACTAGTTCATGAAAATTGCTGTATAACGGTATAATCTCATTTAAGTCATTCGAAAAATTCAAGCTGTGAGCGAGGCTGTGATCTAAGAAGTAAAAGTCAGCAGAATTATACGATTGAGAGTTGGTTTTTGACAAGAAAGCTTATAGACAAAGGCAAGATGGCTGCTCAGGAACGACACTGTGAGCCTGACTATTGCACGTTCATCCATAAAAAAATTGAGAGAGGTCCTTTGCAAAGGTTAGAGATGATTAATGCTTCCAAACGTCTAGAGTAAGTCAGCTCGCGAGCAACTCTTCACCGACGATTCACCAGTCGTTCGCCATTTATGCAAAAGCACATCATATAAAGAGAGACCCCCTGGCCATGCAGATGCACCGGAATGTCGTGCTGGCTCTCTTGATATCCGAGTGGTAACTGTCATAGATCTGCTCGTAGAACGGGTGGACCTGGCGATCCGCGATGCAGGTTCTAGTACGGATGGACCGCGTACTTGGTCCGTGCGTGGCACAAGTGACCGCAGCTGGTGTGGGAACTTGTGGAGCTTTCTGTGACCGCAACCGTGGCACCGTGCCCGTTTTCACTCGGTCCTTGTTGCGAGATCGATGCGCCCTCACCTTGGCCTATACTCCTCCCGGTAGTAGGCGAACAACCGATCCATCACCTCGCAGAGGTTGCCGGGATCGTTTTGGAAGTGACTTTGAATTGTTTCGCTGACATTTTTCTTCCCTGCTCCTCACTTACCACGTTATCAAATTTAGGTTGACGCATTGGACTTATCGGCTTTCTCGTATGGTCATCGTATGGTGGTTTTTTTTGCATCTCATGCACCGATTGAAATCGGAAGCTGATAATTTGCAAAAAGGGCAGACTGACAAAAAACCTTCAATATATTTTGGTAACTAAAAAAGCATATACTTATAGATCGCTAATTTTTTTACGTGCCAAGTTAATGGAGTACAAGTATTCTAATACTCTGTACTAACAACTATCCAATCTTAACTTAAGTGATTTCTTTTGTAGTTTTTGTGTCTTTTTTTTATCTTGGAACATTTAGTACACCTTTATAGCACCTTAAGAAGTAATTCTATGGCGGTTCTGGAGTGGAACCAAAGCCACGTAGTATGGAGGGGGTTCAGTGGGTATTAGTGGTCTAATAAAAAAAAAATCCACTGAGTCCCACACTACCGCTGTTCTTGCGGTGTGCATCAAGGCATTTCTCCCCATTTCTCTATAAAAAAAAACCACCATGTAACTCTATCATATAGTATTTTTTGTGTCATGGCTATGAAAAATGGTGCGTAATCGACCCAACTACGAGCAAAAATATCGTCCCCTGCAGTAATGTTTCTCATATTTACTTGTTGATTCAAAATATATGTTACTGTTACGTGGGAATCGTGGAGTCTGGGGGTGTAAGAGGATAGAATACACGTGAAAGAAAGTTATATATCCGTTTATTCGTGGTTCGAAGCGAGAGCAGTCACGTGCGAGGTGTTAGGTTCAGGGGCCGATCGAAGAAGAGCGGGCGAGAGAGCTAATAACGCTCGGTCCCACCGCCGAAAGGTGTTCATCATACTCTGTTACTCTGTGTCCGCTGCTCATGCACCGCGAGAGGTGAGTCTTGGGCGCGAACTTATAAAGGCTCTAGGTACTGTACGTCACATTAGCATTAGGCCCTTGTAAGAAGTGATCATAGAGATCAGTGGACATTTATTTTCAAGTCAGTTATGAACTTAATCAGTACCCATTTACCAAATTCAATAAACTGACTGATGATGATATCGATCATTTTCAAATCACAAGCGTTTTCTGCTTTTAACGGCAACTGTAACGGTGTATCGCCAAAAAAGTTCCTAGTGTTGGCGTTATAGTCTCTTTCCGAAGGAAACTGTTCTCTCATCAATGTTGTAAGCAGAAAAATGTGGATCTATATCCTCGGTGTCGTCGTAAACCACGATTCCTCGCTCGCGCAATCCCATGAAAGAATTCTCGTCTGGCCCAGTGACGTTGACAGCCGTTACCGCCAGTATAGTGCTCGCCAGCATTGGTCTAACGTTGGACCAATGCTGGAATGATAAGATCGGGCTAGTCAGTTTACTTACCTCGTGGCTAGACTGCATCAGATGAGCCATTTTCTCGGTATAGAAAGAAATAATTTCAAGGTCAAAGTTGATGTTTCTTGATTAGTTGTA